CACACACAGGCACACACAGGTCAGGCGCACACACAGGCACACACAGGTCAGGCGCACACACACGGGCACACACAGGTACACACAGGTCAGGCGCACACACACAGGCACACACACAGGTCGAGCGCACACACAGGCACACACAGGTCAGGTGCACACAGACAGGCACACACAGGCACACAAAGGTCAGGCGCACACACAGGTCAGGCGCACACAGACACAGGCACACAGGCACAGGCGCACACAGTCGCACTCATACACACGTGCACAGACACATACTGGCATCACACAGGCGCACACATGTGCACGCAGGTCCACAAACACGCACACGCAGTTGCACACGCACACATGCACACGTTCAGACACCGCCAGACACTCACGTGCACCACGTGTGCGCGCCTGTGCTCTGTGCGCACACGTGGAGCCAACAGGCACGGGTTCACGTGCACATGTGCGGGCCACGCAGACACACCAAACCAGGCCCATGTGGTCCCAGGCACAGGTGTGCACAGAACACGCATGCACTGGCACACAGGTGCGCACACGCGTGGCCCAGCCTTGGCATGTGGTCACTGCCCACCCGGATGCCGCACCCGCCCAGCAGGTCCCCTCCCGCGCTGTGCTGGCCCCAGGCTCCCCGCCAGGCCTCTGCTTGTCCTCTGGCTCAGCTTGAAGGTGCAGCTGTGCAGCACGGCCAGGCTGGGCAGGGCCACACGGGCCTGGCTGGCCTCTGCTCTATGGGGAAGCCTGGCCAGCAGGCCCCAATGCCTTGTCCAGTGGGTTAGGTCAGGCACAGGCAGGTAGATAGAGTCAGCCATCCTGGAGGCTCCTCCCAGGAGCCCCACCTTCACGAGTCTGCCCCTGCTAGCCCTGTCTTGGGCAGAGCTGCAGGGTTCCCAGGCAGGACCCCCCCCAGACCTGCCCTGCGGGCCCCACTGAGTGTCCCAGCCCGCCCGTCCGACCCCTCCCCATGGCGTCTGTCTCTCCCCTTACCCTGGGGCCATGAGTGAGTCTGGAGGCCACCAGGGGAGACAGCGTGTCTGCTGAGGGAGCTGGGAGGGGCTCCCAGACCCAGACACCCGGCCTCCAGGCCAGCCCCAGGGCCAAGCTTGCCACCCAAACTGCCCACGGGAGCCAGGGCCTGTGGCCAGCCCTTAGCCACAGGGTCCAGTTTTCCCCACCTCCCTAGAGCACAAGGCATCCACCTGGGCCCGCCCTGCTGCCCGCCCCTCTCGCCTCCGCCCCCCTGCCCCGCTCGGCCCACCCCACCCACTCCCCGCCAGCTTGGCTGCCCCCGACCGGCAGCAGGGCTTCCGCCTGCCCAGACCCCCACGCCCTGCCTGGCCCTCCGCGGCCCTGGCCAAGGGCCGCGGGCTTCGGTGAGGGCGCCAGGGCCCACGGGGCCCTGCTGAGCCCACCCCTGTCGCCCCATCCCGCAGAGGGGGAGGTGAGAGCGGAGGAGGAGGGCTTCGAGAACCTGTCGGCCATGGCGTCCACCTTCATCGTCCTCTTCCTGCTGAGCCTCTTCTACAGCACCACCGTCACACTGTTCAAGGTAGTGGCGGGCCAGGCGGGTGGGTGGCTAGCGGGCCTGGCCGGGCCGGGACCCCACTCACCCCACCCCTACTGCCTGCAGGTGAAGTGACCAGGCCAAGAACGTCAGCCCGGAGAGACAGAACAGAGACGGCCCCGGGGGCCCAGGCTGCCCGCCCCCCCACCCTCCCCAGCGTCCCGGCCCGCCCTGGCCCTGCGTGGCCGCCCGGGAATAAACGTGTGCAGTGCGCAAGCTGGCCCGCCGTGAGGTCTGTCCCGGCCCGGGTGCACGGCGGGGCGCTGGGGTCCCCGGCACGCCAAGGGTGGGGTGCTGGGATCTGGAGGAGCCAGCCAGCGGGCGTGCACAGGCGGGTGGGCCTGTGAGGCGCGGCTGACAGGCCGAGCGCTGGCTGGCTCCCTCCTCTGTCCATCACCGTGAGAGGACTGGGCCGCCTGGAGGCCGGTGGGGAGCGGGGCGCAGGGCGGGGCGGGGGCCGGGAGCACACGGATGGCGCGGAGGGGCCTGGGAGAGCGCAGGGCGGGCCGCAGACCCAAGCTCCGGGGCCTGTGCCACGAAAGGCCACCCGGGAGGGCCACTCTGAGTCTGGGCGACGGGCCTGGGGACAGGCCAGGGCTGGGCAGCAGTGGACATGGGCCACCGTGGAGGCCGGGGCCTGAACGTGGTGGTGGTGTGGGCCGCAGCTTCGGGCCTCAGGGCCCTGCCCCAGCTCCACAGGCCAGGGGCTCGGGGAGCCCCCGGGCACTGCCTGCTGGACCCAGCCAGGGCAGCAGGCCTGCTGTGGGACGGGCTGACCACAGCAGCGTCGGGGCAGCGGGGGGCCCCCAAACTGCCACCCGGTGGTCTCTACCAAGCACCACCAAGACAGCACAAGCCCCCCACAGGGGAAGGCGAGGCAGCCAGCGGGTGACAGAAGCAGGGTCCCTGAGGCTGCCCCCATAGCAGACGGCCAGCCAGACAGGGGGGTCGGCCCAGCGAGGGCGGGCGAGCCGGAGCCTGCCCACGGCCAGGTGCTGACTGGGGCGGACCGGCCAGGAGAAAACCACCACCGGGGCAGAGGCTGCCGCTGTCACCGCCCCTCGGCCGGCCGCCCGCCCTGCCCAGTGTCCCCTCCGAGCCGGGCCCTGGTGGAGTCCCAGGCCCGCAGCTCCGGCACCCGCCTCTGCCCCGCCCGCAGCCACGCTCCTTCCCATCTCCAGAGCCTTCTCGCTGCCTCCCTCCAGCTTCCCTCCTACTGAGCTCTGCCCTCGCTGGGCGGGCACGAGCTGGGAAAATGGGGGCCCGGGGGCTACCTGTCCTGGGCTCCCGCCCGCCAGCACCTCGTGAAGCCCGGCGGGAGGCGGCACAAGGGCACCCCCTGCGCTGGGCCTGCCGCGCCCACCTCTGCCAGCGGCCTGCCCTCAGGTCAGGGGCAAGCCCGGCCCTCCGACACTGGGCCGGGCAGGGCACCAGCCAGCAAGTGCCGGGCTGCCGGAGGCCTCCTCGGGTCGTGAGGCCCTGCAAGGCCGAGGCAGGCCTGTCTCCCCCCAAGGGTCCAGCGCGGTGGCCAGTCCCCACACTGGGCTGCCGTCCCAGTGCCTGTGTGCAGTGCCCAGCCCCTGGCCCCGGCGTCCTCCCCACTCAGGAGTGGGTGCCGCGTGCGGGAGTGGGTAGGCAGAGGCTCGTGGCGCGGGGGTGCCAAGTGGGACCCCAGAGAAGCAGCTGCTCTCCCCACTGACCCGCCTCCCCTCCTGCTGGCCACAGGCCCGCTGCCTGCACCTGCAACCAGGACATGGGTCCTGAAGGCGGGGTCCGCCCGGGCTCGGTGAGGCCCTGGCGGCGCCGTCCGAGGGGACAGTGGCACGGGCAGCGCAGGGGCCGTCTGCTTGGACCTCAGCCAGGGGGTGGCGGGAGCAGAGCTGGGGACCCTGCAGGTGCCTGGACCCCGCCCCGCCAGAGGGACGGCCACCCGCTGGCCTCGCAGCCCAGAGCCGCCACTTGAGAGCCCGCCCAGCCCTGCGCCCGGCTGGCCGGCCGTCCCAGGAGCACGGATGAGACGGCCCCTCGCAGGCCTGCTGGTGGGGGCGGGGACACGCAAGCCCGATTCCGGGCTGCCACCTGCCACTCGTACAGCCAAGAACTGGACACTGGCATGGAGCGGGCAGGCCCGGGAAGCCCAGCCGCTTCCCAGCCTCCTGCCCGAAGGGACCGTCCTGGTCTGGGCACTGGGTGTCCGGCTGAGCCACGGACTGCCCGCCGGCCCAGGGTGTCGGGGCAGGGTGTCGGGCGGGGACCCCTCCTCAGGCGGCTTCAGGCTCAGCTGCGGGCTGCGCCCCACCGCCCTGCACCTGGTGTCAGGCTGTCCCGAGCCCCCGGGGCCAGCCGGCCTCAGGGGTCTTCACGTACTTGTTTTAACCGAACGCTACGGCTGCAAAGGCACCCAGCTCGCTGCCATTTTAGCACCGGCGCCTGCCTTTTTTTTATTTCCAAATATCCAGGTCCAGAGGCCAATCCCCTTTCAGGAGGCGCATCACCGGGAACACGGCTGGGGGCCGGCTCTGCCAGGACGCGCACACCCTCCGCCCTCAGGCCCTACGCAGCCCAGAGGCCCCTGCCCACCCCCAGGGCCGTCCCACCTGGGCCAGCACCCCAGGCCCCACGTCCCGCCCCTGGGACCCACAGAGCCCTGCACCCCACACACCGCTGGCGGGCGGGGTAGACGCGAGTGGACGGCTGTGAGGGCAGCGAGGCCTGAGCCGCAGGGCAAGGCCGGTGCCAGGCTCCAGGCTCCGGGCTCAGACAGACAGGAAAGGCCTGGAGCACTGGGGGGGGCCCGGGGGGGCGGCAGGCAGGTCCCTGCAGAAGCACGGAGACGGCGGAGGGACGCGTCCCCAGAGGGCCCCCGCTGGTGAGGGGGCGGGTGCCGCCACCCGGCCCACCCCTGCCCAGGACGGGCACCCCAGCACAGGGGCCGTGTCCACTCCCTGGAGCAGCGGCCGCGGGTGAGGGGCAGAGGCCGGCCTCCGGGCCCCCGAGCCGCCCCGGCCTGAGGCAGGCGCTCGCCCAGAGCAGCCCGCTGGGCCCAGGCTCCGCGCTGAGGCCTCTCTGCCAGGAAGTGCATTGGTCATTTGCCCCGAAACACACACTCCATCCCAACTGCCCAGATGACCGCCGCAGGCCGAGCACTGCTGCCAGGCACGGCCCCCCTGAGCCCACTTCCCCTCTCCGTTCCCTGCAGCAGCTGGCCGGGGCCTTTGCCCGCTGGAAGGAGCCCACCCCGCCCTGTGTCCCACGGCCAGGGCCAGAAACATCTGCTCCCAGCTGTGTGGTAAACAGGATGCAGGGCCCTCACCTAAATCAAGGCTTGACAGGGCGCCCCACGGCGGGGGCCCCCCAGCCCCTGACTCCACCCACGCTGGCAGGGGCTGAGGCCTCCCACTCCTGGGCAGGAGCCAGGCCGTGCCACCCAGCCTGGCCGGTCCGCTCCTGGCCGCCAGGGGCCGACGCTGGTAGGACACAGCCTCAAGGGGACCAGGACCCAAAAGAGGTTGGACGGGGCAACCCCCACCGCCCCCCCAGCTGGGCGACGGGCAGCGATGGGCAACGCCGGACCCCCGACGTCCCCCCAATTCAGGGCACCCTGGGGCCACCCAAGGCCAACAGATCTGGAGGCGTGGGGCAGACCCCGAGAGCGAGGCCACGGGGACCGGAGACGGCGGCCAGCAGGGCCCAGGACCACAGACGCCGGACGGCAGCCAGGGCCCGGCCAGCGGTGACGGGACACACCGTGCTGCCCGCGCTGCCCGCGCCATGGTACAGGGCCGCGTCCCGGCGCCTGCCGCCTGGGCCCCCACTGCATGGCGCCGAGCCCCAGGCGCACCCACCTTGGGGGACGCAGCAGGCTGCTTCCGGGAGGTGGGGTCACTCACGCCAGCAGGCAAACGCCGTCGAGGTCACCGGGGTCAGGAGACCAACACGGGTCCCTGCCCATGGGGTCAGAGAGCCAAGCAAGGCTGGCACCAGCCCGCGACGATGACCGTCTGCGGCCAGGGGCGGGGAGGGCAGCAGGCGGCCGGGCCGGCCAGGCCCACGGCCGAGCGACCTGAGGCTTGAGGCTCGGGGCCTCAGCAAGAGGCGACTCAGCCAGAGGGGAGGAAGGCGAGCTGCAAGGAGTCCGCATCTGAAGGTCGGGAGCCAGCAAAACGACGGCACAGACCGAGGGGCCAGCCCATGAGCCCGGGGTGGATGCCCACTCCTGGGGTCACCAGGGCTGGCCGGGCAGGGGGCGCGGCCTCCGGGAGTGCAAACAGCCCGGCTGGTCGGGGGGCCGGCCCAAGGGGCCACGGGCCCCGAGATTCCAGCCGCCGCCCTGGTGTTCGCTGTCCTGCGGTCACCACCGAGAGGCCGACACCCTGAGCTGGGGGCAGCAGTCCAAGGCCCAGCGGACAGCTCAGAGAAGACTGCAGCAGTAGCAGGAGCTGGACCAGGAGAGCTCCGGCCTGAGCCAGGACGCAGCCGAGAGCGGCCACAGCCCAGCGGGTGGGGCTGGGGGACACCGTGGTCTCCTGGCCCTCTGGGAGCCACAGGGCGGCACCGCGCCCCCCTCCCCCCACTGAAGTGCCTCTGCGGATCGTCCTGTCCAGCCTCCAGGGCCCACCTCGTGGCCGTGTCCACCGTCCCGCCACCCAGGGCCACCTGCTCAGGCCTGACCTCTTGATCATGTCCGCAAAGCCCCTTTCTGCAGAGACGGGCTCACTCCCGGCCTCCAGGCTGATGTGAAGGGGCCGGGGGGACACCCCCTTAGTCAGAGTGACCAAGGCAGGGGACCCAAGCTCAGAGCCCCGCAGGGTGGGGCGGGCCACCTGCTGCCTGAAGCACGTCCAACCCTCAGAACCCAGCAAGGGGTCCCTGGGTGGGGGCGCGGCAGAGAGGGTCTGGATGCACACAGGGGCAGGGAGCCCGACCCTCTGGAGGCGGCGAGAGCCGAGGAGGGCTGCAGGGAGCTCGCTCTGGGGGGCTGCGGGCGCTGGGGCGGCTCCCTGCAGCCCTGCTGAAGCAGCCGTTACAGCCCCGCAGGCGCGGGTGTGCACGGGCTGTGTGGGCGCAGACGCACGTGTTCAGTGTCCCCACCCTGCCCAGCACTGGGCCTTCCGCAGCAGCAGCACCCGGGGTGGCCCCTCCAGCAGCAGGACCCGAGGCTGCTTGGAGAGGAGGCAGAGGCGGGTCCGCTTCGGTACAAGGATGGGCGTGTGGGCACGTCCACGGTGCACCGGAGCAGCTGGACAGGGCTTCAGGAGCCAGACGAGGATCCAGGTGAGCATCGCGGCGGTGCCGCCGCGTGGAGGCGCAAAAAACGTGCGCCTGCGCCGAGAGGTCTTTTGGTGAGGAGGCGCGGGGAAGACGCCCTCCAGGAAGGGCAGCCTGGCTGGGGCAGCTTTACCAGCGGCCAGCGGGTGTGGCAGGGAGGAGGTGCCGGCGGGCGGGACCAGCCCCAGGAGCAAAGCCTGCCCCGCCTGCCGCGCCCTCGCAGTCTGGGCTCAGGGGTGGGGGGGGGCCAGCCTGGGCCTCCGTCGCCGGCCCTCGCGGCGAGGGGGGAGGGGTGTGGCCATGGCCGCTGGCACTTTGGCCCTGGCAGAGGCAGGGTCTGTGGAGCGCCCCCTCAGGACAGGGGCCTCGCTGCCTTGCGACTTCTCTGCAGGTCTGCATCCAAGTACCTTGTAACCCAAGGCCAAGAGAGATTTTCAGAAGTACAAGACGTGCTATTTGTTGCCAGCCCTTGGAAACCACTTGCAGATGAAGTTCAGGCCGGAGGAGAGGAGCCAGATGAAATCGGATCTCAGCGTGGAAGCCGCCCAGCGGCTGTGAGGGCGACGCCATGACCGTCGCCGCCCTGCGCAGGGTCGCAGGCATGGGCCGTCCGCAGGGGCAGGAGGCTCAGTGGGACCCCAGGGAGGAAGAGCACCCAGAATAAAAGCTTCATCCCCAGGAAGGAAAACGGGGAGAGGAAGGAGACCCAGACGCTGGCGGCCACACGGCCCCAAATGCCAGGATCTGTACCCAGCGTGAGGGGCTGGGCCGGAGGCCACCCGCTCGGGTAGCAGCCACGCCCACATGGTGGGCAGGAGCCACGTCCAGAACTGTTGAACATACCCAAAGGGAAAGGTGGCCAGGGGAGGGGAGGGAGCTGCGGTGCGGCCGGCGCGGCTGGGCATCTCGTGACCACACGCAGACCTTCCGTCTCGTCCAGAAGCGGCCTGTGTCCCTGCGGAGGCCCGAGGTGCTGCACCCTGGGCTGGGAGGGGCCGTGCGTGGGGCCGGGTCCCTGAAGTCTGCGGCCCGCAGGCCCCACAGGACGCAGCTTTCGCAGGCTGCAGGGCTAAAAGGAAGAACACCAGACAAGAAGTCAGCACCAAGGGAGAACTAAAACCACGCGCGGCGGGAGCCAGGGTTACCTGCGCCCACCTGTCTCATCTGCAGCCTGTAGTGATGAGCCTCTCGGCTAGCACAGTTTGTATTTGCGGTTTACGAATTTGAAATGCTGATTCACCCACGGGTTGAGACTAATGCATCCAGAAGAAGCAGCGGTTTGTGTTTCTTAGCATAAGATGCATAAACCTGCAATGTTGTAACATGAGCAATAAAAAGGGATGGAGATGGAGACATAACCGGCAGGGTTAGGACTGAGGACTGGCCCTGTTCCGGGCCCTCCCTGGTGGCGCAGCGGGTTAGAGCGCAGCACTAAGAAGCGAAGGCCACTTCCACACGAGTTCGATCCCCGCCCCCAAGGCGCCGCAGACCTCTCCTGACCCGCCCGTGGCTCCCCTCAGCAGTGTGCTTCATTGACCTGCCTGTTGTGCTCCCCATTCTGTCTCTGGTGAAGCCTCTCACCGCCCCCGAACCTCTGGCCTGTACCCCAGTTCTGTATGCATAAATAAATAAGTCTTTTTAAAAATCTGCCAAAAAAACTAAATAAAAATAAGTAAATTCCCTGTTCTGACAGATCTTGACTCCAATGGCCTGGCAACCACAAAGAAATTAGCTACAGATCACCAAAAATTTGAGAAAGGAAACCTAGATCTTGTACCACAAAAAATCAACTAAACACAAAACTAAAAAGTAACACAAGAAAAATCAAAGCTTTAGGGCATGTAGAAAACAAACAACCCAAAGGCAGGCATAGGTCTGTTATCGGTACTTTAAATATAAGTGGGTTAAACTGTCCAGAAAAAAAGGCAGAGAATGATAGAATGAGTAGAAATACAAGGCCCAGCTATCAGCTTTTTTCAAGAGACAAGTTCCAGCAGGAAAAGGCATTCCATGCACATCGTAACTAACAGAGCAGGGATAGGTACACTTACAGCATATAAAATGGATTTTTTTATTGTAAAGGTTCATTTGTGCATACAGAACTGGGGTACAGGCCAGAGGTGCAGGACGGTGAGAGGATTCACCAGAGACAGAGTGGGGAGCAGAACAGGCAGATCGAGGAAGCACAATGCTGAGGGGGGCAGCGGGCGGGTCAGGAGAGGTCTGCCGGGCCATGTGGGTCACCTCTGGGCTGGAATGGAATCAAACGTGCACTGAAGCGGAGGGCCTAAAATGGATTTTTTAAGTTTATTTATGCATATAAGAACTGGGGTGTAGGCCAGAGGTGTGGGGTGAGAGGACTCCCCAGAGACACAGGGGAGCAGGACAGGCAGATCCACTGAAACCCACTGCTGAGGGGGCCTTGGGGGACAGGAGGGGTCTGTGCGCCCTGTGGTCACTCCCTGGCCAGGGGTCACACCCAGCTGCAGGGGCTGGCCGTAGCATGATAGCGCTGTGTCTTTAACCCCTCCGCCACCAGAGAGGCCCTTAATGGATTTTAAATAAGACAAGTTTTCGGGACAAGAAGGACCTCATACACTGATAAAAGATCGTATGGTATGAGGCTACGGCAGCTATGAGCATCTGCACGGTCAAGGGCAGGACAGCAAGACAGGTGGTGGCAAAACTGAAGGGGCCGTGGACTGTCCATCAGTGATGCTGGAGACGCCAACCCCTGCTCACACCATGCAGAGGAAACCCGGCGGGGACAGCGAGGGGGGAGGCCCGCAGCACAGTGAGCAGCGGGCACGCGCTGGCCAGCAGGAGCACACGTGTGCTTCTCCGCCCGCAGATGGCCGAGGTTGGCTGCCAGCCAACAGATTTTAAAAGCGGGGCGTCGTAGGACCTTCTCCAGCCTCAGCAGGATGCAGTTAGAAATGAATTAGCAGAGTAAACTGGAGAATCCACCGATTTGTGGAACATAACACAGTCAAGCCACCAATGGGTCGGAGCGGAAATTAGAAAAGATTCAGAGATGAGTGGACAGAAAGCAGATGGTGCTGACTCCGCACACACAGTCAGCAGAGGGAATCCGAGAGACGTAAGTGCTGTTGGAAACACGGCACCAGATCAGCGCCCGGCTGCGGCGTGAGGGACCACGCAGCAGCAGGGGCCGGCGGCTCGGAGAAAGGAAATGAAGGGAGAGGGCGCTGGCCCTCCGCAGAGGCGCGCGAGGCCCACGGGCGTCGGCTTGGCCGGCCAGAAACGGACGGGCGCATGGTCGCCAGTTCGCAGAAGTGCGTCGTGGCAACGGCCACCAGTTGGTAGGCAGCAGATCGGGCGGCGTGGGCGACACGGAAAAATCCAGAGAAGCAGCAAGCTCACCGGCACTGAACCGTGAAGAAACAGGAAACCTGGGCAGAGCCGTGACGAGGACGACAGGGGCTCGGGGAGCGGGCCCGCCGCAGCCGGGACGAGGCCCCGGCGAGCTCCAGCCCGGGCACGTGTTTTCAGAAGGACACACCCAGCCCGGAGCTTTTCCTCAAGGCTGAAGAGGAGGGAGCACTCTGACCCGCTGGCACGAACCAGGTCGCCCCTACCTGAAGTCAGACAGAGCCGCTGGCCAGGGCCCCGCGTGGACAGTGGCCCTCCCGCGCAAATTCCGGCCACGTGGAAGGGCGCGCCCACCGCGAGTGGGCAGCGTCGCTCCGGGGGGCAGGGACGGTGGGACGCGGGGGTGGGCGTGATGGCCCCGCGGTGGGGCCTCGCCCAGCCCTGCGCGGTGCGCGGAGAGCAGGTGGCGGAACCCAGAGGCCGTTTGCTTTTACCACTCCTGTAAGTGGGAAAGCCCAGCGCCACGAAAGCCACGTCTGGGAAGTCCTCCGCGAGCACCACCCTCGGCGTGGAGCGGCAGCCTGCCTCCGGTGTCAGGAGACGGCAGCGGCGGCCCGCGGGGCCAGGAGAGGCTGGTCGGCGGGAAGGGCGTACGCTGCAGAGCACCCACCTCTGCCAGCAGCCGGCGCGGCCTCGTGCAGGAAGCCCGACACTGCGCGTGCAATGAGTGATTCAGCGAGACGGGAAATGAGTGATTCAGCGAGACGGGCAAGAGCAGCCGGTGAGAAGTCAGTCACGGGCAGGCCCGTCTGGGACAGCGCGGGGTCGGTCCGTAAGGAGCAACACATGAAGACACCCAAACGCCAGCAAGACTGAGACGGGGCATGCTCCTGTGTTCGCGGTCGGGGCTGCGCACGGCGGAAGCCCCGCGCCACCAGAGGCCAGCTCCCAAGAGGAACGGGAAAGGAGATCCGAAATTCACTTAGAATTCTTTTGGAGATTGATTTATTTACACACAAGAGCTGGGCTGCAGGCCAGAGGTGCAGGGGTGAGAGGCCTCCCCAGGGTAGGGAGCACGACAGGCCGGTCCACTGAGACTTTGCTGGCGGGGCGCAGCGGGGGGCAGCAGGGGCCCGCTGCGCCCTGGGGTCACTCCCCACGGGGGCAGGGGCGTGCGGTGGCTGCGACGGCCTCACGGGCTGCGCGTCAGCCTTGGGCCGGCAGGGAGGGCTCACTTGGGATCTTAAGGCCCCCAAATAGCCAAAACAACCCTGCTGAAGAAGTCCAAAGCTGGAACCTCGCACTTCGAACCCTAAAACTCACGGCAAAGTAACCAGAACCTCGTGACACGGGCACCAAGCCCGGCGCAGACCAGGGCCGGGGCCGTGGACCAGAATAAGGGTCCAGAAGGGACCCTGCGCGTGGCCCCAAGCTGTGTGAATGGCAGCCACACCCAGAGGGGCCGATGTTCTCCACAGGCGGTGTTGGGCGGCCTGAACAGCCAGGCGGCTGCACTAGAGGGGTCCCCACTAACTACGCCCAAAACTAACTCAGACACGGAAACGAGACAGCTAAGCTCTCAGAGGAAAGCCCAGCAGCGTCTCCGCCCAGGGCGCCACTTCTCAGCGGACACCGTGCGGTGGGGGCACGAGTCTGCCTGGGCCCCGGGGTGGTCTGCGGGGCACCGAGCCGGCAGGGGCGGGGCAGGACGGAGCCGAGGCCCGGGAAGACGCCCAAGGGGCTGCGGCACACAGGCTGCCGGCTGAGGCCGCGGTGGGCGCAGGCGGCCTGTGGGAGCCGGAACCGGAGCCGCCCACCCGCCAGCGCGTGCCCACGAGGGGTGCCACGAGGGGTGGGCAGCGTCCCTCAAAGGGGGACACACGATGGCCCTGGAGACAGCACCCAGGAGCAGCACCCCCCTTCTCCAACCCCCGCAGGACAACTCACTCTACCAGAGTGGCGTCAGAGGGCCGCTGAATAAGAGCGAGAAAGAGCACTAGGGCCCCCCTGGGGCGCAGGGGTCAGTCTTCGCTGGGAAGCTGTCCCAGCCCAAGCGTGAACCCGGCCGGGGAGTGACCGCAGGGCCAGCAGACCTCTCCTGTCCCCCGCCGCTCCCCTCAGCAGTGTTTCAGTGGACCCACCTGCTCTGCTCCCCACCCTGCCTCTGGGGAGTCCTCCCACCCCCCCTCTAGCCTGCACCCCAGTTCTTGTGTGTATAAATAAACAAATCTTTAAAGTAAATCTTAAAAAAAAAAAAAAACAAGAG